GGACCCCCCCCCCCCCCCGCCCAAACATGCCTCTCCGACGGGTCGTGCCGACTTTGTTTGTTGTCTAGTTGGTTCGGTGCATCGCGTCCTGGCGATCCCTCCATCCCCTTCTTGGACCGATGAAGGGGCAGAAGCCACGCCGCAGCCTCTACCGGCTCCTTAGCAAGCTGGGGGACCGGGCCAAGGTATGCACGCAGACAGATGTGTTTTCGTTGTTGATGATGATGTTGTTGCTGTTGTTGTTATTGATGACGACGAGGACATGTCTGTTGTTATTTATGAAGTATGTTGTTACTGTTGTTATCGATGTCTTCGACATCACAAACCGTTCCGGTCTCTACTCAGTACCTTCTAGTACCCGTACCGGTCCAACTGACAGGCCGACTACCCATAAAAGGTACACACTTGTAGATAACCAACGGAAAGAAGTACAATGGACTAAACGCGAAAGCTTGTATTGATATGCTGGTGTTGCGGTGTCGTCGCTTCTCCTCAACTGTCAGTCGATTTTCACACACCCTCTCTTCGCGCTTGTGGAGCTCTCGGCCCTTGAAACATCGCCGTCCGGGAAATGTACGATCACCCACACTCTGTCTCCTTCCGCACGTGACTCGTCAGCCGAACTTATGTCGCACCTCTCACCTTACTTGTTTTGTTGTTATCAGTGGTTGCCGTTATCGACGTTCCCCCTCCCCCCCACGTGAAAAGGGGGAAGTGATATCGACAGGAAGAGGAAGACATTTTTTAGCCACCTTTTGTGAAGCGGGAAAGAACGATTGGACATCGGTGATCGGTCCTGCAGGAACAATGCTTCGTCCTCTCGAGGACGCGTGGCCAAGGGTCTGACCGCTAAGGCATGCAAACGTAAGACTACGCCCCCCCCCCCCCCCCCTATCCCCCACCATATTTTTTGCTCTTGGAGGTCTACCAATCGACGACGTCGAAAGGGAGGCAGGGCAAAGGGGGCGACAATGCCAAGGCCAACGCTAAGGGGAACGACGTAAAGTGAGAACGCTGTTGTTGCTGCTGTTGTTGTTGTTGTTGCTGCTGTTGCTGTTGATGATGTTGCTGTCGATGCCGTGATGTTGCTGTTGCTGTTGATGATGTTGCTGTTGTGGCTGTGGCTTGTGGCTGTTGTTTTCGAAACACTGGGTGCACAAGGGAAAGAGCAGAGAACAATCCAAACCGAAGCACCACCCAGTGCGTTTGAGTAAGTATCTGCATCAGCCCCGAGGCTTGCACGCTGCTATGAAAGCGCCCAAGAATGTACGAAGTCGAACCTCCGGTTGACTGCGTGGCAGGGGTAGTGATGGCAACAGCACTTCCTCAGCGATGGGTGGCGGCTGCCCACCCGGGTTATACATACTACATGAATATATACTCGAATATGCATACATATACTTCATGTAAGTGTTTGGCGATTACCCCTATAGGAAGCCAGCGACGTTCATGAAAAGAATCCGTAGTATATACAACGGCGCTTCGCGGCGTACCGCTTCGCGGTCGCCGCTACGCTCGTAGGTTGAATGGCGATGGCAAGTGTGTGCGGGTGGAGTTGTGGAATGAGGGGTACGAAGAAGAAATGCTGCGGAGAGGGAATAAAAAGTCAACAAAGTTGTTCGTTGGAAGAACAGCAACAAACGCACCACGGATAAATTCATATATATGTTGTTCGACGGCCGGAGTAAGAAACAAAGGCTCACTTACCGCGAAAAAATTAGGAAAATAGGGTTAAGCAACATAGTAGCGCATCCTGGGCCACACGATAGAAGAAACATCTCAAGAAGAAAACAGAGGAGCGTCCCCTACAAAACTCTACTAATCGAAAGACACGAGGGTTACGGGGGGGAGGGGAGGAGTGCGTCGAAAAATAAACGTCAGAAAGATAGACTACACCAAGCAAACAGCTTTTTTTCTCTCTCTTCCCCCTCTCCTATGTGCTACCACCCCCTCAGTGAGACGTCGTAGCTGAATAAAGTTCGCTTCTTCTAGGGTGTGTAGTCTTCGTATGTGATCTGATGTACAGCCGTCGGTTGTGGGTACGGGAGGCGAGGAAAAGCAGCGCAAATCATTGATTGGTAGTTTTGGCAGCACGTTGTGTGTAAGCGATAGCAGGTAAAGTTAGACAACTTGCCGAGGTATGAAATATGGAAACCAACAGCACCAGCAGTATTGCCTACTGCTACTGGAGTGTATGTTCTGCTAGGTTTTAGGTGGGTAGAAGATACTTGAGCGAAAAAAAAAAAAAAGACTACTTCCTCCATAAAACGGAGGAACAAACATCGTATCTCATGTTTTTTTTTTTTTACGGGCGAGTGTAGTTTTGCAGACAGCTAGCTGTGCGCAGGACACCGGCCGCTAGCCCCCCCGTTTTTCGCCGGGATCAAAAGGGAGACGCACTACAGCAGTAGAGTACTTTGTCTCGTGTCATGCGGAGACTTGGTGGCTTGGTTGGCGAGTGTTGTAACAAGGATAAGTAGCGTGTAGCCAGCGCACGCGCACGACGTCAGCCGCTCGCCGAACTTATGAATGGCCTGCACTGTCAAGGAATCGGGGCGTGATTGGTGGATCCATGGTAGATGTCGTAGACGCCACTTTCTGCCCTCGCGAGCGCTGCACGCAGTCCGCCCCGAGGGCGCGCGGCACGCTGGGAGAACCCTCAAAACACAGGGCTATCGGTAGGTGCAAGTCTCGCTTCGAGGCGAGGTCTTCGGGCGGAGAATCCGCGAAAATAGGGCTCTAGGCTCACGAGAGCATCATGATTGCATTTCCTGCAATCTCGTGAGCCCTCAGCCCGTAGGAAACCCGTCTATAGGTCTATTAGTTGGCGATGTTTATCCTGGGGAGCCGGCGACGTCCATGAAAAGGATTGCGGTGCAGCGGATATGAGCCCCCCCCCCCAGTTCTCCCCCCCCGGTGTTTACCATCGGGGTTGGGTTTTCGTCGCTTGGCAACGACGTTGTAAACAAGCCGCCCCTCCGGTGTTTGCCATCGGGGTTGGGTTTCGTCGCTTGGCAACGACGTTGTAAAACAAGCCAACCCCCCCGGTGTTTCCCCCCCCGCCCCGGTGATTGCCATCGGGGTTGGGTTTTCGTCGCTTGGCAACGACGTTGTAAA